CTCCACACGCCGTGCTCCCCGTCCAACGTGGTGCAGAAGATGGAGGGCTCTCCAACCAGCGGGTGGCCGGGCTCGCAGCTGTAGGTGACCACGTCCGCGTAGGAGAAGGTGCCCGTCGAGTGCCCGCTGTGTCTCCCGTGGGGGATGTCCGGGGGCGGATCGCAGGCGATACCTGCGGGTGCGTGCAAGGTGGCCTTTAGCATCGGCGCTGCAGCAGCACCCGGGCTCTGCAGGACACGCACACTTCCCAGGACGGGAGCCAACGGGGATGAACCCCTCTTGGCGGTGATGCTTTCTGGATACAATGACCCAAATTATCCAGAGACAGACTTTCCATGGAAAAAATCACACGTGGGAAGGAAAACCTGCGCCCTCCTGTGAGTCACTTCCTTGCTGCCCATGCCTGGGGGTGGTGTGACAGTTCTTCCCTCCCTTTCCATAAGCATTGGTGACACATGCAGAGAGAGACTGGCCGCACCATTCCTACACATGACCAGTGAGAAATACTTACCCCAGTAACAGGGAGTTTAAAATATTAATGGTTTCCCCAGTTTGGACCAGGATAAAGAAAAAACCTTTGGAAACTTTTTCAGAAACATCCAAACCAAAAGAGAATGGAAAGAGAAATGAAAGATTGCACACATACAGCGACTCAAGAAATCTTTTGCAAGGAAATCTTTGTCTTGAAAGATGTGCCACTGCCTCTTGCAAGCCATCTCCAAGCCATCTCTGCCTACTTACGCTGGCAGACAGGAGCATCTCCACTCCACGAGACGTGGGTGCCAGAGACCTCGCATGTTCTCTGAGAGCCTCCGACCAACTTGTACCTGGAGTCACACAGAAGGGTTTATTAATTTACGTTGGGAAATTTGAGATTTCTTTACAACCCTTGTAAGTGGCAGCCAAGACTTCTGACTCGGGTGCTACGCTCCTTCATGTAAAGCTAAAAATCTGCTTTACTCTCACTTGGCAGCTGAATCCAGCTGGTCGCAAGACTCACCCTTCGTCACAAGTGTAATTCACTTGGGACCCGAGGAGGAGGTCCGTCAGGACAACAGCTCTGCCATTCTCCACATCCCCTGGGTTAGCACATTGCTTCCCTGGAAGGGAACGTCCGCCACCGTTAGCCCTCAGCTGCTCGCTCACATCCCACCCAGGGATGCTGCCGCACAGAGCGGACCGCATAAAGTAAAGAAACCCATAAAAAATGTGACAATCCAGGCAAGCCTGGCACTTGAGGTTTTTCAGAAGTTGCAGGACGTACTTTTACAGAACTCCAGTGCTGCAGACCACGTGCGATTCCCGAGGCATGTGATGGCTGGTGACTTCCCCAGGTGCTGGGCATACCCCGGCCGGCACACGTATTCCACTGTCCTCCCCACGGGAAAAACAGTCTGGTTGCTGTATGGCTCCTTCAGCTTAGCAAACACCAGCCTAGGAGGTGCATTGCAGCCGTCTACCAAGAAAGAAAAGCCAGCCCAGTCGTCAAAGGAGTCAAGAAAAAGCAGATTTGGGAGAGTAGGGGGAAGGTTCACATTCCGAGCACTGCTGGAACACTTGCCCTGCTCGCAGACTGGCACGGGTGGCTCCCAGGTGTTATTTAGCTGGCACTGTACCACTCTGTGGCCACGTAGAAGGTAGCCTGGCTCACACTCAAAAGCAATGGTGTCCTTGTGTGTGTAGGCAGACCTAGGAGACACTATTCTCCCATTCTGGACCTGTGGGACGGGACATCTTGCCTCTGGAAAAGAAGTGCAGGTCCTCAAAACAGGCACTTAGGTGATGTGCAGAGCTGTGCAGCTGCGAAGCCACTGAAGAGCTGCAATCCCTTTTAAGACACATGTCTGAAAATAGTTTTCCCCTAGATGATGTACTGCCTGCACCCAGCGATGTCAAACATGGAGGGAGAGACCCAAAGGGAGAGGTGAGGCTGGGGGTGCTGGAGGCAGCGGGGTGCTCCTCCAGCCTCCTCCCCTCTGCCTGGCCTCAGCTGCAAAGCAGCCCGTGCAAACCCTGCCCTAGCAGGCACGGGGGCAAGAAGTGCAATTGCCTGGAGGTTTCCGAGGCTTTCCGAACACGAAGCAGCAGCAGGGCCGGGAGGATCGCACCCGAGTATCAGGACATGCACCCACAACCCTACCTCCGCACTGTGGGGGGGGCCCGCTCCACACCCCGTTTTTCCCATCCCGGGTGGTGCAGTGGATGGAGGGCTCTCCACGGAGTGGGTACCCGGGATTGCAGGTGTATTTTATAGAGGTGCCGAAGTGGAATTCATCCAGCAGCCTGCCCGTGTGCTTCCCATTGGGAATGTCCGGAGGCGGCTCACAAGGGATGCCTGCAGAGGTGCAGAACAAGGCTTCTAAATTCAACAGCAGCAGTAAAGTACTTTAAATCCCCCAGTCTGTGGGGCATAAGCACTTGTCCTAGGGATGGAGTGGCTGCAACGAAGTGACCCTCTGGTTGAGGCCTTGTAGGCAACTGGATCCCATCTCCCTGGTCAGCTGTTTCCATGGCAGTTAGAGAGCAGACCAGTAAGACAAACCCCTACGGAGAAACACCTACGTGCTTTATCTTTTCTACTGTTGAAGAAATAAAAAAGCAAATCTTTCTTTTGTATCGCCGGTATAAAAAAATCCTGATTTTTCAGCTGCTTGCAGTGCGAAGGCACACACAAGCAGAAATTTGTGTGTCACCTTAGATTAGTATGTACCTGGAGAACCTGTAAAATGCTTTAAAATCCCAGAACACGCCTCCCTCTCTTGCCCTGGGCTTGTGGTGTTAATCAGGGACAGGAGACCTACGCACTGCTGGAAAAGCTCCAGCTGAGGCATTGCTTTCTATAACCCACTAAGCTTTGAGATCTTGTACCTTTTCCCAGGACGCTTTCTTATGACATCAAAACCTTCTGACATTTTTCATGCCCACAGAGCAGAGAAATCCCCCGTGAAAGCTTTGATTGGAAAGATTTGGCAGTCTCTGCGGGAAAGTATTTAACCAGATCCATGCAACACCCCCCCCATCCCACCCCCCCAAAGCTACTTACGCTGACAAATGGGAATGTCGCCACTCCATGCAACGTGTCCACCAGAAACCTCACATCGTCTGCTGGATTGTCCAATTAACCGGTGCCTGGCATTTAGAGGATTGAACACTCATCCCAAGTCATTTGGGGGTAAGTTACTACCTCCCCCTCCCCACCCCGAAGGCGCGATCAGCCCCGCCGAGAGCAGAGCTGTGGCCCTGAAGGAGAAGCTCCCTTCCTTGCTCAGCACCACCTCACCAATTTCGCAGTATATACGTGTGTATATCAGATAGGGAACACCTTATGTGTTCATATAGGTGCAGAACTCTATAGCGCGGCTTCTGTATATAATCCATTTACTGGGAATGAGTGACTAGGGGGCAGAAAGGGAGACTTACCTAATACATCTCTCCTTGCTGTGTTAAGCAGTAGCCAAAACCAGGACTTACCCTTCTTCACAGCCATAGACCACGGTTGACCCAAACAGGAGATCTGTTAGGAAAATAATTTTCCCGTTCACAGGTTCACCAGGATGATTGCATTGTTTCCCTGGGGGAGGAAAAAAACCTCATTTTAGGCATTTCTCTGCCTATCCCACAGTACAACAGATGCAACTATAACTCCAGTAATCTGTCCACATTCCTAGTTACCCCCCAAAATGGGTTTCGAATAGCATAAAGTTACATGGCTTTACTAGTCACATACTATTTGAACACCAGAATAAGGTTAAGTTTTTTTTCGGCATGGACAGAACCTAGCACCTATTCCTTCTTGAATAATGGACACCAAATCAAGGAGCTATTCACTTTTACAGAACTCTAGTGCTTCTGACCACACTCCGCTCTCAAGGCATGTAATAGTAGGTGACATTCCTGGGTGTTTAGTATATCCAGGTAGGCAAGTGTATTGCACAGTCTTCCCAACAGAAAAATCAATCTCATTTTTATGCTCCTCATTTAGCTCAGCAAAGCGTAACCTTGTGGGAGCACCACAAGCACCTATTGAGAAAGAAAAGAGACATGAGAATCAGGCAGGGCAGGCATGCCGGCTGCAAGCACAGAATGAACACTGTTCTAAACAAACAGGTCTTTGGTTTGCCTTGCAAAATTGTTTATTTTCATCAATGTAACCGTTATTAAACAAACACAACATATTTTCCCAAAGGACTCCAGAGTTCTTATTCCCAGGTTATACTTAAATCTTCCACGCACAGGGTTTAACCACAGGTTTTTTTCACGGGGTTAGGGGACATAAAATAGCAGCGGGCCCCCAGGCAGGTATGTCACGATTTACCTGGAAGGTCAGGCCTGTTTGAGAGCTCCTGGGAATGGTACAGCCTATTGCAGACGGGAGCAGGAGGCTGCCAGCTGCCATCCTCCTGGCAGAAGATTTTGGCACTGCCCTGCAGGCTGTAACCATCGTGGCACTGAAACGTCAGCATTTGCCCCGGCGCGGAGATAATTTGGTGACCGTCAATTTGCCTTCCGTTCTCTACATCTGGATTTATGCAGACAGTCACTGCAAACGATGACATACAGAAGTGATGAGCAAAAAGATCGGAACAAAACAAACCGAAAAACCCACAGGCTGTTAATATTGCAACAACAAATCCTACAGGACACATAACCCCCGCCACACACCCCCAGCCCCACCGTCACCATGGAAGGGCTTAGAATTAACTTATACCATGCCACACTACATGGGATAAACCTTCTCTGCAGATCTGGTTGCAATGGTCAGGGTCTCCCCTGAGGGGAGCATCTCACCCGAGGGGACAGACCACAGACGCACCTTCACAGCGGGGGCCTGGCTGGCTCCAGTTCCCAGACACCCTGCAAAACACCGCGGCATTTCCAACCAGGTAGTGGCCGGGGTCGCAGGTATATGTTACAGACATGCCCGTGGTAAAAAATGGTTTGCCCTGGCCATTATGATTTCCGTTGCGGACACCCGGAGGCATGGGGCATGGTCGGACTGCAAGGGGGAGACAGAAAGTCTTAAGTCAGCGAGAGAAGAGCAGGCAAGGGGGAGGGCGTGGGCGCGATGCCGCGCTGAGGGGTTAAAGCCCGCGGCAGGACCAGCTCAGCCTGCGCACGCCGCTCGCCTGCAAGGAGCACCCGCCGGGCAGGGCCACCCGGGGGGGAGCAGCGGGCTCCAGCTTCGTAGGTGCTTTGCAGCCCGTGGACCTTCCCGTTCTGCACCTTGGGTACCTCACAGCCGATCGCTGCGGGGAAATGTGGATGGCATCCTTTAAACTTTGATGCATGGGCCACATCCTGCACGCACAGCCCCCTCCCTTCTCATCACTGCCCGAAGCCTGGTCTGCACGGTGCCTACAGCCAGGCCACCCCGCGGCCCCTCTGCTGACCCCTCGCACCCAGCGGTGAAGCCCCCCCCACCTTTGCAGCGGGGCAGGGGCTTGCTCCACACCCCGCTCTCCATGCAGTAGATGGACATGTTCCCCACCAGCTCGTAGCCATCCTTGCAGCCGTAGTACACGGTCACTCCCCGGGAGAACTTGTCCAAGGAGTCTCCTCTGTGCAGCCCGTTGGCGATGTTTGGTGGCCGAGGACATGTCACCTCTGGAGAGGGAGGGGAAAAGCCCATGAGAGCGTCTGGGAAAGGCGATGCCTGAGAGCGAGCTCAGCTCACACCTCCTGCACATCAGACCTGGGGGAAGGTGGAGGGGGATGGCAGAGGGCTCCCACCCCAGGTACTGCCCAGTCTGTCCTGACAGCCAGCCCTCGGGTGCCCTGACTCTCCTCGGACTTTTCTGGACAAAGAAGGTTGAATTGGTTCATAAAGATCCCTCTGGTCTCCCCCCGAAGGCTGTGTCGTACCCCATGCCCCTGCCTGGTCCCCAGCACTGTCGCCAGCCGGCTCCCCAGGGGCATGCTGCAGCCGGGGCACCGGGAGGAGGGTGCTGGAGCCGGAGACCCCTTTGCACTTGGTCGCACGTTAAGGGATGTGCCAGTTCCTGGGCGTGCGCTGCGGGGTCACCAGCACCCAGCCCCAGTGCGGGAGGCATGGGACGTCAGCCACAGCTATCGAAACACTTCCCTCCACATTCACGGATGTAAGCGTATTCTTTATGTATTATAAAACTGTAGATTTCATTAAAGGGGAATTGAAGCCCTCACTGAAGGTCTCAGTGACAACAGTCAGGGTGTTCCCTGCACTCAGAGCCACGTTATGAGCCTCTCACCCAAGGGGACAGACCACAGACGCACCTTCACAGCGGGGGCCTGGCCGGCTCCAGTTCCCAGACACCCTGCAAAACACCGCGGCATTTCCAACCAGGTAGTGGCCGGGGTCGCAGGTGTATGTTACAGACATGCCCGTGGTAAAAAATGCTTTGCCCTGGCCGTTGTGATTTCCATTGGCGATCTCTGGAGGTGCAGGGCATGGTCGGACTGCAAGGGGGAGACAGAAAGTCTTAGGTCAGTGAGAGAAGAGCAGGCAAGGGGGAGGGCGTGGGCGCGATGCCGCGCTGGGTCCCAGGTGCCCCCTGGCTGGCACTGAGCCTCATAGGTGTCCTCTGAGGCGTATCCGGTCTCACAGCCGAAGTGAAGAGTTTCTCCAGCTTCGTAGGTGCTTTGCAGCCCGTGGACCTTCCCGTTCTGCACCTTGGGTACCTCACAGCCGATCGCTGCGGGGAAATGTGGATGGCATCCTTTAAACTTTGATGCATGGGCCACATCCTGCACGCACAGCCCCCTCCCTTCTCATCACTGCCCGAAGCCTGGGCTGCACGGTGCCTACAGCCAGGCCACCCCGCGGCCCCTCTGCTGTCCCCTCGCCCCCAGCGGTGAAGCCCCCCCCCCCTTTGCAGCGGGGCAGG